GGGCAGGCTCGGTGCCAGACGGGTTCTGGCCGCGGGTTGAGGGCTGTTACTGCGTTCGCGGAGGGAAGGGTGGGCGGGCTGCTGGGGCCACTCCAGGCTGAAGTTCGGGGACCGCAGACTGCGCCAGCTCGCTGTAGTGGGGGGAGCCGGGGAAGCCTTTTTGGAGCCTGTGTTTGCGCAGCGGGCGTTCCTGGGCCGCTAGCCTTCCGGCTGAGTCGGCGCCCGCTCGGGGATTGCAGAGTGCTTTTTCTTTTATTAAAAATACTCCTGAATAGGAGCCCTTCCTCCAAAGCAGCCGCTGACAGAAATTTCGGGGCTATGCCTCGCTTGGCCTGAGCTCTTTCTCTCAAAACTTCCTTTAGAAAGCTAAGAAGCCAAGGAGAGTAAAGGGAATATAGGTGCTAAGAAAACCAGGGTTTATGAATCAGGGAGGCGGGAGGAAAGGGGGGAACTTCTACTCTTAAGGTGAAGGCAGCGTTAAAATGGGAAAAGCAAGGGCTCTGAGATGTTGCTTTAAGCCTCCCTTTTCTGTAGGGGGACGCACTTTTCCTGAGTGGGGGGCTAAGTGAGAATATGTAAAGCACCTGTGGGTGCTGAAGCCTGAGCTGGAAAACCTTGAACCGTGATCCTTGCCTTTCTATTTCTCTAATCTGCTGGGAAGACCTCTTGGCTCTGTTTTCCAACTCTCTCCAAGTTGATCATTTCTTGCCTCCTTGGCTGTTAGTCCCACAGAACTATGCCCCGAAGGCTCACCTGGGTTATCGCAGGTGTTTGCTATCTAGTCTTAATGCTCCCACCTTCCCCCACCTTCACCTCAGTCTGTTCTTCAGGTTGCAGCCTGTGTTCTATGAACTGAATCCTATTTTTCACCTTAAAGTCTGTAGGAACTCCAAGGCTCTAAGCTAAAGCCTTTAAGGTGGCTGATTGGACCCTAGGTGACAAGTCTGAGTTAGGAGAGACTCCATCTACTGTCCTCAGCTGTACCTTCCTTCCTCTTGCACACTGTCCGTCTTGTCCCAGGAATGCCCCAGGCATATGCCTGCCCCAGGGCCTTGGCAACTTGTTCTCCACCTCGAATTACTCTTCTCTCCAGAAGAACCTAGTTGCTCCGGTGTTACCTGCTCAATGAAGATCACCTTCCTTGACCACCTTATTTTAAATCCCAAGCTTCTAGCCCTTAGAACATATTCCTGATACTACCTTCCCTGTGACTTTTGTTCAAATGGGTGACCCCCCACACCCCACATGTGATCTTTGATCAAGAAACAATGGCTGTGAAGGTAGTTCTATGAAGTGAAGGACCCTAGAAATAGTAAGTCTTGGTACCAAATGGTGATTCCTGAAACAAGTGGTGGCTCTAACCTGAGAAACCAGGATTTAATTATCAGCCCCTAATGAGACTTGGGTTCGGAACAGGTGGATTTAAGTTCACCCCTAGGATATTTATGTAACCTAAGGACCTACGTGCAAGTAAAACTAAGGCGCCAACCCCAAACTCTTGCAAGCTGGTAATCTTTAGCACCTGTACAAAGCCTTGTTGGAGTTGATGCTGCTTGACGAGATAAAACTCCAGTAAAACGTTCTCAAAACCCTGGCAGGAGGTTTTGCTGCTAGCTTAGGTAGTCCTGTTGATCTGGGGGCTTGAAGGGGATGGGGGGTGGGGATGCTCCCCCTAGCTTAAAAAGAACTGTCTACAGACAACAAGATTAGGCTGGAAGTTACCGAGGTTGAAAGGGAAGACGGACACCAGGGCATTCTTCCTCTGGCTGGTCTCTGGGACGGTGTGCTTGGTGGTCTCAGCGGTGAAGGCTCAGTAACACCTGAGTGGTATCAGCTGTGGCTAGCTGTGGTCCCAGCGCTTTTTCCTTGGGTCCTCCTTACATACACCTTTGTTAATACAACCTAACAGCCTGCCTGCGGCCTCCAGGAGGGACCCTGAATGTCAGTATCCTGGAGGCTCCTTCTCTGCATGTTGGTCCAGCTACTTCTCCAGCACCTCACCTGTCACCACCTGCCTCCCCAGCATCTCTGTAGGAAAGTCCCCAAGGCACTTCCTGAGACCAAACCAGCCTAAGACCAAACACCACCCCCGCTCCCTCCTGCCACAGTGACCCCTGAAGCCTCCCTTCCCACAGTGACCCCTGTCTTTCTGGCTACCCAGCCCTGTCTTCACCCCCACATTCAACCCTTCACCAAATCTGGTTCCTTGAATGCCGGCGTTTCTCAAATCTATCCCTTCATCTCCCTAACACGGCCAGGCTCCGAGCTTCCTCGCCTTACATGGGCTCCTTTAGCCACTTCCTGGCTGCTGTGTCCACTCAGAGCCAGAGTAACCTGCTGGGTTTGGCCAGCAAACCCTGAGGTGGTGAATGAAAAGATTACTCCAGACACCTAAATAGGAGAAAGAAGGTTGAAGGGACCAGACGCTCTAGTGGTGAAAAGATCCTGAGCCAGACTCAGTCTCTGCTTTTATTGCACGTCTTAATACATCAAGTAAGAGCAGAAAAATAGAAAGGAATGTTGGGCTTTAATAATCAAGACCTAGAGCACCTGGGTGGCTCAGTCAGTTAAGCATCTGCCCTTGGCTCAGGTCATGATCCCAGGGTCCTGAGATCGAGTCCCAGCATGGGGCTCCCTGCTCAGCAGGAAGTCTGCTTCTCCCTCTGCCTGCCACTCCCCCTGCTTGTGCTCTGCCTGTCTGATAAATAAATGAAATCTTAAATAATCAAGACCTAAACCTATGGGGCAATGCATGGTGGAAGCAAGTGGTGTCTGATGTGCATGCGGGCTAAAGGTATGGTGAATACGTGACCATAAGGTGAGAGTGTTTTTCATCTAAGCTAAACATTTACTCTCTAGGTGAGAGCGTTGAGCTGCAGTAAGGATCTGGCTGTTTTCAGCTCAAACTTCAAAAGAGACCCAGCGTTCCAGGTACTCCTCCTTTGCTTTTCAGTTGGTCTCACCTCAACTATTTCACTTAATCTTTCCAGGCACTATGAATCCTCACAGTAACCTCAAACCTTGTCAGCAGCCCCCACATCTTCTATCTCAAGATGTAGGCCCGGGGAGGATGTTGGTCTCAAAGGCCCTGCAGGGACCCAGCCCCAGCCTAGCTCTCCAGTAGCTCTGTGCCTGGGTCTCTTCGGGTCACGGGGGCCACCCCAAGGGCCTTTCAGCTCTGCCACTCTGCACAGCGCCTGCCTGGGGCTACTGCGCCTGCGGTTTCTGAGCCTTTCCTGTACACCCCAGTTTAAGGCCAGTCTGTTCCACTGAACTCTCAAACCAAGGCCAAATCGATTCCTCTGCTTCCTGGATTGACTTGCTTCCCCACCCCCACTGAACTTGAGAACAGGGGCCACCTGAAAACGGGCCACATGTTTTTTCGAGTATTTAGCCAAGGGCCCACCAGACTGCCCTAGAGGGAATGAGCAATAAGAGCATCACCTGAATTTGCATTTAGTTCCAAAGCAATTAGTGTCTTAAAAACCTACTTAAGTAATTCCTTAAATCTCAAACTCCTAGGCTGGCTTTGGGTAATCTGGTTGCAGTTACTTGGGTAACCCCGACAAAACCCTTAGATCGGCTTCCAGGTGTCAGTACGAGGCCTTGATGCTTCGTTTCGGGTCAGTTCTGCTGGATACTTCGTGGTGAAAATGAGGGCTCAGGATGTGTGGCTCTACAGGAATCCACCACCACCTGAGCATGCTTAGCCTGGGAGCCCTGGTTTCCTCTTCCGTAAACTGGGATCCCACAGGAGACCTGGGCTTTGTCAAATGAGTAAATATCTAAAACCTGTAACCAGCACTACAAGATTTTTTCAAATTCCTGCAAGCTACAGGAACTTGTGTGTAAATACTTTTCCATTTGAGGTGATCTACAGTAGATGTACCTCGAGGAGAACTCCGTATTCCTGCATAGCTTCAGACTGATCTTAACATAGTTCGGGGAATATATCCTAGTCATTCCAGTTACTGACCTATCTTAGTTCTTTATAAGCCATGCTTTCATAGACCACTAAACCTCCCCTAGCTGATCTTCCTAAGGACCGGGTGAGGGTCAACTAGCTGGAGCCAGCAAACCTGGCGTGAGACTTGGACCGGCACGACTTCACTCCT